ATCAAAAGAAGAGATGAAGCTTGGAAAATGATTTGTAGGTTTTTAAAAAAATCATTTACAAACGTGAATACGGGTTTGGCGAGATGAAATAGAGATTTAGAGTGTTTGTTTTTGAAATAAAGTGTTTGTTTCCGGGGAAAACAATGACTTATAATCGAACCAAGCAGTAAACATAGGAAGATAAACGAAGTGAAAGCTGATAAATCTCGAATAGTAGAGTTAGAACATAATATTAAAGTATTTGTTTTATAATGTAAAGCAAGGATTACTAATTCTTGAAGATTAAAAGAAAGAAATCATTTTCGATTAAAAATAACGAGATTTCTTTTTGTTTAACAGATGAGAAAAAAGGAAATCTAATGGCAAAGCCGGTCAGCGATTGTGGAGAGAAAACAATCAAAAGAAGAGATGAAGTTTGGAAAATGATTTGTAGATTTTCAAAAAAAAAACCATTTACAAACGTGAATACGGGTTTGGCGAGATGAAATAGAGATTTGTGAGTGGGGAATGAGGGGTGGCTGTTGGCTCATTTTCGGGGCGCACTCATAAAAAGGATGCACAAGCGTGAATGAAAAGTTTATTTATTTAAATTTTAATTTAATTTAAATTAATTTAAAAGTCGATATATAAATACTTTATTCAGAAAGAAATAAAGTGCGAAAAATGTACTATTAGGTTGATGCAAAAGTCTTTTTCATTTTTTTCGTACTTCTTTTGAAAAATAACAAAGTCATGAATTAACCTATGGTTTGCTCTAAATGAAAAGTGTTTATTGTTGAATTTCCCATCTTTTTAAGTCAATTTGGGTTCACTTTCAAGCAAATTCGAGAGTGAAAACGGGTTTTTCATAAAAATCTATAAAAATCTCTATAAAGAAGTTGGCTGAATCAATTTCTCTGAAAATCTGAAAAAATATCTAACTTTTTGTGCTCTATCTTTTATTTATTAACATCAAGATTGGTTTCCTTAGCTAAAGCGTCTAAAATGCATCATCGAGCCGTCGCCTTTTTTGACTACCCGACTTCAGGCTCTCAAAAAAATCTAGACATAAGACATTTTAAACTCGTTTTAATGTCATTTTGCAGAAAAATAATTGGCCTTTCGAATGCAATAAACCGTTGTTCAATTGGTGCATTTGTTACCTTTTAAACGGAAGTACGAAAAAAATGAAAAAGACTTTTGCATCAACCTAATAGATAAAAGATCACAAAGTCACTTAAAATGCAACGACGAAATAGCCCTTTTAAAATCAGACACGGTGGAGATCAAACGCAACTTGTTGGGAAGGGCATTCCAAACTTTAGTCACACGATTTACGAAAAAAGCTCTAGAGGAAATATGAAAAAATAATTATAGAAAAATAGGATATTTAAGCAATTAAATCAATCAAAAATTCTTCCTAGTTTTCAATTTTTTAATTCGGTTATTCGTTATTATTTTTAATTCGGTCTTGTCGAATACATTTAGCCATTCACATGTTGTTCGTGAAATGTGAGCGATGGTTCACAGAGAAAAGAAATTCGAGAATTTTTTCTCTTTTTTCCCTCTTTCCATTCCATTCCAATATTTTGACGGCATTTGAAAGAGAAACAAAACTTTATATTAGTGAAGATGATTGTTATAAATGAAAAAGAAATTATAAACAAATCTAATCTTCGCCTATTTTTGTTGTACTTTTTTTGGAATTTAATTTGGCTGAGCACACAAAAATCACCCTGAAAGTTATCGAAAAAAAAAATAGAATATTATAAGATATTCAAAATCTATAAGTTAATTTCTATAGTTAAAATCTATAAGCTATAAGCCTGAGCTTCTAAAGCCAATTTCGTGCAACATATGGCAAGAGAAAGGGGTAAGAGGACTGGTACAAGAATCAAAACATAAAAGAGAAGAGAAAAGTGGACAAATCGAGAGCCCAATATAGAGAATGGATAAACTTTGACGTCTTTTTTTGGTTTATGCCGATCATCGAGAGGGAAATAGATGGGAAGAAGAGGAAGAAGAGGAAGAAGAGGAAGAAGAGGAAGGCAAGGGGAACTGGTTGTCCCTCTTGAGATCTTCCACATTCGTTTATTGCATTCCCCTCTCACTTGGCCATAGTTCAAAGTTTCTAGAAAAGTTGTAGAAGATTGTTATGAAGTACTGTGTTTTCTAAAAGTTCCATAATTTGGAATCTTTCGTAATCTTTCGTAAACTTTCGTTTAGACAAAAAAAGATTTCACAAAGTTAACTTTAAGAATTTGATCTTACGGCTTAAACATAATCTCATTTTAAAATTAAAACAAACAAAAAACGTTTTCTGTGCTTTTGCTAGAAAGAATTGATTTGGATTTGGATGAAAAGCGCGCTCGTTTTTGTAAACAAACTTTAATGGCAAATGATTTTGGGGAAATAAAACCCGATCGAGTTTAGCATCTACTAAATAATATAACTATATTATATATAGCATCTAATATATAATTGAGAGCTTTCTCTCTGTTCGTCTGTCTATGTATACGAGAATTTTTCGGGCCTTCCAGTACCAGGTGTGGCCAAGGAGGATGGCATACCGGCCTGCAGATCCGGGGATCTTGGGTTCGGATCCAAGCCGTCGTTTGTTCTTTTGCTTTTTTGTGATTCGATGAAAGATTGACACTATAAGAACATTGAAAGACAAAAGATTGACAAGATTGACAATGACAAACATTGACAGACGAAAGATTGACAGACACTACGGTATATGCTCGATCTGGACCAGTGAATTATGAGCGCTCGAAATTAGCATTTAAAATGCCCGGCTTTTCGTATTCTTCCGTACTCTCCAAATTCTTTCATGCTAGTTTTAAATATTTTTATGCATATAATATATTCAATATTCGACTGCTCTGTGTGTTCTCCCGCAAGCTTTTTACTCATGGTCGGAAATAAATAATAATCAGAAGGTTTAGGCTCAGGTAAGTAAGTCTGAACTGCATTTTGGTTTTGAATCGAAAAAAACATTGACAAGATTGACAATGACAAACATTGACAGACGAAAGTTTGACAGACACTAGGGTATATGCTCGATCTAGAACTACCACTGACTTTAATACCTTATGAGCGCTCGAAATTAGCATTTAAAATGTCCGGCTTTTCGTATTCCTCCGTAATCTCCAAATTCTTTCATGCTAGTTTTCAATTTTTTTTTATGCATATAATTCTCTCAAAGAAAATTTTATTGGAGCATTTTGAAAGCAAATATTTCTAGCAAATATTTACAAAAGTTTGATTGATAGCAATTTCGTGGCGATTCGATTGAAGATTTGAAGATTTGAAGAAGATGATGAAAAACGGAAAAAATAATAAGCACTCAAGTAAACACTTTTTTTTTTTTGGCACCACCGGTAAAAAAGTAAAGAAGTTTTTGTATTCTAATGTACCCAATTAGTTTTTTTTTTGTTTTTTAAGTAAACATCCAGAAAAAGATGCAAAATAGCAAGAAAAATTGAATTGAAAAAAAAGGAGAAGAAAGATTTGAATCATCAAATGCGATAGGAACCATCGAGGTGACGAATTCTTCTTGAAGAATACCTGTAAAGGAAGATTTCATTCTTGATTTTTCATGGTCTTTATAAACTTCGGATTCTCCATTATTGAAAACATTTATTTGTAAATGTTTTCGAAAAAATCCCTAGCAGAACGCTCTCGTTCCATGCGACTTTATGGTATAAAAGGATTTCTTCTTTTTCGTCATCAATCTGTTAAAGATTTCGAAGTTTACTCAAAGATTTTAAGTGAATAGCCAACTCAAATTGATTAAGCAACTAAACAATCAAGTTTTCACATATCATCGCAACCTTTTTTAAGCAAACACAAAGGATTAGTAAAGCAGAAAGGCTTTTATTTAAGCTTTTAAGCAAAATAGCTTGAAATAAACAAAGGAACCTTTTCAGATGTTTTCACTTACACTACTGGACAATGAAATATCATATTTGAAAAAAGATCGTCGCTTTCGCGCGTCTGTAACTCCCTTGTCTTTACCGTATTTCTAAATATTAATATTACCATTGTGTAGCCCTTGAAAAGAGCTTTCAGAAAATGTATAACACTAATAGTTTAAAAGCAAAGACAAGGGAGTTACAGACGCGCGAAAGTGACGATCGTTTTTCAAATATGATATTTCATTGTCCAGTGCTGTACGATCAATTTCAAACTACTTCAAACTTTACAACTAGACTTACAACTTTCAAATAGTTTATAACATTCATCGATATCAGGTTTCTATCATTCGAAATTTATGAAAATGTTGAAATTTCTTATGAAAATCAGCATTTCTTAGGCATGTACACTACTGGACAATGAAATATCATATTTGAAAAAAGATCGTCGCTTTCGCGCGTCTGTAACTCCCTTGTCTTTACCGTATTTCTAAATATTAATATTACCATTGTGTAGCCCTTGAAAAGAGCTTTCAGAAAATGTTTAACACTAATAGTTTAAACTCAAAGACAAGGGAGTTACAGACGTGCGAAAGTGACGATCGTTTTTCAAATATCATATTTCCTTGTTTAGTACGGTAGTTGTGGAAAGTGCTTCTGGATTTTATAAAAAGCACAATTCGAGTCGCACGGGGAGGTCGACTCCGGATCCGTATGGGGCACAGATCGACAGACATTACAGACGCGCGAAAGTGACGATCGTTTTTCAAATATCATATTTCATTGTCTAGTACTGTAGATTTCTCTTAGATTTCTCTTTTTTCTTTTTTTGAAATTTGCATTTGTCAACTCATTGTTTTTTAAACTTTCACTAAATAGAAACACGTTTCGACTCTCCTTTTATGAACTACGAAATTTCTTTCATTTGTGATTTGCGTTTTCCTCATAAAAACATAACAAAGCAGGAATGAATCAGCGCTTTTTTTTGGATTAGCCTCGAACACGGACGGACAGAAATTGGGGTGGGTGAATGGGCGAAAAAAAGACAGACAAAAATAGTGGCATGCCTCATGAGAGCACGAGATGGCTTCGCTCCAGCCACTAAGCTTCGATACCGATGACTCCACAGGCGAGTCGGGCACCCGCGTCGCCGGTCGTTTTCGATAAATCCGCGCCGCCACGACCCAAGTCATCCGGTTTCTCGTGAACCACAACACCGCGACCGATGATCGAGAATGGGCCTGAAAACGTGAAAGATGGAATTGTTGATCTTTGTGCTAAGTGGAATTGTTGATCTTGAACTTGCATTGAAATAAGATTCCATTTGGATAATATGCATGATTTTAAATGCAATTTAAAAAGCATAGGAAAGAAATTTCCTTACCATTCAACGAGGCCAGTGTATCGGAGACGCGAACTTGGAGATCACCATTCGCCTGAAAGCAAATCAGTTAGGGGAAAGTTTACATAATATTACAGGAGCATTGATATTGCCGAGATCTCCAACATGTCGATTGCTGTCAGTCGGCGCTCCATGGGTCATCATGTGCGGGTTGTAGTGAGCGCCCGTGTCCATGCACCCATTGCCAAGGTCTCCCTTAAAAGCACAATGAAGTTACGGAAAAGTTTACGACTTACGAGTTACGGAGTTACGAGAATATAACTTCTTCTATCATATTACTTATATTCTAATAACGCCTAGTTCAGCTCATTTTTACATTTTGAGTCTGGTATTAACTGGTAATATCTGGTAGAGCTGGTAAAACTAATAACCTAGCCAGAATTGAGCCCTTTGACCTTCCGACTAAGATACAGGGTTCTTAGCCAGTCGGTCATCGTTGTGGCCGATGTCGAGGGAAAAAAAAATCAATAATCTAGCCGGCTGGATTGAACCCTATGTAAAAAGTTAAAGATTTTAAAACTCTAGAATTGAGAACGTGACTTTAGGAACCTTTTCGTGAATGTGGAACCCATGAAGACCGGGTGCCAGGCCAAGCGACGAGCTAATCGTTCCATTTAGCTGAAAAATCAGGTTTTATTTTGTGCACATTCTCTTTCCCTTAACCGATAATGAATTGCCAGTTTGGATGAAATCAATCACTCCGACATTCGTTTGTGGGATTCCGCCCTTGACCGCTTTGTAGAGGTAAACGCGAGCTCGAGTCACTAAAACGGCCTTCTTGATTCGTCGTTTTTGGTAGCATTTAAAATTGGGAAATTGTTTTTGTTCAATAGTCTTAAAGAAAAGTCGCTTTTTAGTCATTTAATTATTGGGTTGTCCAGTTATGAATGCGCGTTTTTCACTATTTTGTAAATTTCTCAAGATTTTCTCAAGATACCGAAATCAAGAAAAATATATATATGAGTATTATTCGAAAGCTGAAGATCTCCTCTACATTTTGATATAAAAAGTTTTTGAATTTGTTCAGCTTTTGGGCAAATTGACTGCACAGAAGAAGAGGTGGCCAAAAAAAATGGAAGGATGCCTTTGGATCAAGTTTTGGCTCCGCTCAAATTGAGTTAACCGTTCGATGTTTGGCCAATAGATATATCAATACAACTTTTTTTAAAATATAACAATTTCAGAGCGTCTTTTCTGGGCGGTTATTTTACACCATAAAACCTGAGGAATAGCTAAGCTGGAATGGGTTTTTTCGAAAACGACCACTCCCTTTGTGCAGTCAATTTCCCAAAAAGTTGAATGAATTCAAATACTTTTTATTCCAAAATGTAGAGGAGATCTTCAGCTTTCGAATGATATATAACACTCATATAAATCTGTTCGATATCTTGAGAAATTTACAAAATAGTAAAAACGCGCATTCATAACTGGACAACCTAATAGATCTTAATTGTTTGATATGTCTAAGATGATTGGATATCCTATGTCTGATATGTCTAAGATGATTAAATATCTTATGTCTAATATATAAGATGATTGAATATCTTCTGTCTGATATATAAGATGATTGAATATCTTCTGTCTGATATATAAGATGATTAAATATCTTAAACCGTATGCTTAAATCTTTAGATAATTGGTGATCTTAAATATTGAATTATTTGTAAACTTCTTTTGTTGAAAACTATTGAATCTAGATCTGATTGTGAAATTTTATCGTCACCAAATTCCCGTGAGAAAACGTCACCAAATTCCTGTGAGAATTCTTTCCCCAATGACTGTATGAATGAATGTTATGAATGGATCTCGGTTTTGCATATGATTAGCTCTCGTTTTCTTTTCACAATGAAAAGAACTTTTGTTGAAAACTATTGAATCTAGATCTGATTGTGAAATTTTATTGTTTATTTATTGTTTATTAGCTGATTATTTATTTCAATTTGTTGTGGTTTTAAGTATTTGAAATTTTGACGAAAAAATTCACCGTCTTATCAACATTTTTCGTGTTTTCGAACAAGTGAAGGTCATTTTGGTAAGCAATGTTTTTGTGAGTGGTAAAAGAAAGAAAGAAAGAAAGAAGAAAAAAAAGGAAAGCGGGGAGTGGGGGATTGATGCTCTCAAATAGGCAATCAAATGCTTTTCCTCTCATTTCACAACCATTCCCACATATCAGCAGTTCATCATCGTTTTGAGAAAGCAGAAAAAAAGTCACAAGCAAAAATCTTTCAAAAACCTCTCACAGCTATCCTACACCTGATTTCATCAGTAAAAACGTGAAAAAGACGTTCAAATGATTATCGTTTAGAAAAGGATTAGCATTATGAACACCAAGACACCAAGAAAACCAAGAAAAGTAAGAGTCAAGTAACGTTGAACACCAAGGGAAGTAACGTTAATGACGCCTCTTCAATGTTTTGAAGAAAGTTTTCTTGTTAAGATTGAAGAAACTTTTTACAAACAAATTACAGAAAAAGGCAAGGAAAGTGCCTTATGCCAGACCGGCATGTTAGATGAAGAGCGATTACGCCGCCGCACAAAGAACAACTTCAGTCATTTACACAGGGATTTTTCTTTTGTTCTGTATTCCCAAATGAGATTTAATATTAAAAGTTTCTTGTTTTCAAAGTCGTAGAATCTATTGGCGAACTTTATTTTAACTCTTTGTCCCAAGAGAATTGAATTGGCTTTGGGTTTTGCATATGATAGCTTTTCACAATGAAAAGACCCGGATTTTCGAGAAGAACCTATACTCCTTACAGTAATTCTTGATTTAATTTCTTTTAAAACAAACTTTGAACATTTTATCGAGCTCCGCATTCGCCTGAAGTCTGTTTTCAAAGTCGTAGAAACTATTAGCCAAGTTTATTTTAACCATTTTCCCCAAGAAAAGCTCAAAGAGAATCGAATCGGCTTTGGGTTTTGCATAAAAAACATCATATTCTAGAACTTTAGCTCAGCTTTAAACTCAGTTTCAACGCTTTCACACTTATAGTGCGTAATTGTAATTTATAAACAGCTAGAGTATACCCAAAGTACCGTATTGCTAGTCACTTTTTCCACTTTTAATCCAATAAATCATTGCATCTTAGCATTGAAAGCTCGATTCTCCGTCATAAATCGTCGCAATTTGAGCACAAATATGTCAAACTTTTGTCAAATTGCCTATTAGTTCAATAGCAGAAACCGGATCATCAATAAAAACTCTAAAAAAAATTGATGGATACTTTATGTTTCCATAGAGTTTATGTTCTCTTTTCAAACAATTGAGAAACCAATTGATTGTCGATTTTCTGAACACCGGAGAAAGTGTTTTCAACACTCCAATCAACACTCCAATCGAGAGATTGTAAACAGAGTGAGGAGGAAAAAAAAGAAAGACTATTCGTAAATAGATCCATTGAAAAGATTTATTGAAAAGAATTTTTTGAAAAATTCTGTTAAGATGCTTTTTAGATCGTTGATCTTTGATGGAAGAATTTTAGAAAAATAAACAAAGATTTGTTTCAGTTGAAGCGAAAAATAGGTCTCACCTTGATTCGTTGCGTCACCAAGAGCGAAAAGGACCACAAAAGTCAAAGCTGCCGTTTTGAGCATCACTAAAACTCATATAATGTAGAAAGGAAATTTATCATTTACTTTAAGCCAAGAAATGGATGTGATTGATTGATGTAAATACAGAAAATATTGCAAAAGAATCAAAAAGAATCATCACTATCCGATTGTAACAAATCAAGTCTATCCGTTTTTTTACTGACTTGAACAGTTAAACTTGATTTTATTAGTTTATCTACTTTACTTTTTTAATAAACAATAAGAATACAGTTTCCTTGTTAACAATAGTTAATCTAGTTAAATCTAGTTAAAGCATCTAGTTAATTAAAAGTTAAAACAGTTAACAATTAATAGTTAAAAAGGCTATTCAAGTTTTGTTAGCTTTTCGATATAGTAAGAAAATAGATTTTAAAACTCTTAGTGAGAGTTTAAATTGAAAAAAATCTAGATTAAGCTTTTGACAAAACCGGGAGCAAATTTGAGAAGCGGTTGACGAAGAGAGTTTTTGCGATGGGCGGAGATTCCTATCGAGTAAGAGAGTGGGGGAAAGGTAACTGAAAAGAAAAGAGATGAAGAGAAAAACGAAAGAAAAGAGAAAATCGTTCAACCTGTCAACGATGAAGTGAGAAAATAGGCACTGCAAAAAAAGGGCAACCGATTTCCAATGCTGGAATCAGTATTGAAAATCGGTTGCCCTCTCTGTTCTCTCTCTCTTATGATGCAGATTTGTTGTGCCTGAAAGTGTACCCAAACAAGCAAATGAATGGTGAAATGCGTTCAGCTTTGATATCAAATTGTTGGAAATTTACAGACTAGTTGATCAAAATGTAACTGGTTGACTGGGTTTTTAAGTTTATAAAGAAAAAGATAGATACCGTAAATACTTTAATAGTGCCCCACCCGCATAATGACGGTTGCGTAGTCTAGCTTTGAACGAGTTTTTCTCGACACTGGTTTATGCTACAATGCGCGCTTAGGTATCAAAAAATAGCCCTGAATTTCAGCTATTTTTTGATACCAAAGACTCATTTTTTGAAGGTACGGGCGCTTTGGAAAAAATGAAATACTAAAAAACTTTTGCGACTACGCGACTGTACGAGGGCGGTGGGGTACTATTACAGTATTTACGGTAGGCATATTGCAGGATTTCCCGTTGCTCGAATCAATCATCATCTTTCACCACCGCTTTGTCCCCAGCTACAATCCCATCCCCCGTGCAAACATCGTTTCTCACCTCTTCGCCCGCGAAACCCTCAACCCTCAACTTCTAGTTCATCCTATGTAAGTACTGTATAAACTCGAGATAAAATTGACCATCTAGAGTATTTTATAAGGGGGATGTACGAGGGGGATGCGACTACGCGACTGTACGATTACAGTATTTACGGTAACTTTTTTGAAATGACTATTCGAAATCAAATTTAAATTTGGGAATCAAAAAAAATCAAAACAAAACAATTACTTTTTCTATTGCCAATGAAAACAATCAATTACCTTTTGTATTGAATGGCATTTAGCTCGTTAACTGAATATCTTTAAGCGTTATTTGCTCTATTTCTGGTAGGCTAATTTCCGTCATTTTATTTGCGCAACTCGCCATAACTTTCTTCTAAATGGATCAATCTTTATGATTTTAATGTCATTTTTTTGTAGATCCCAATAAGTGCAACAAAATGACACCAAAATCATAAAGATTGGCCAACTTAGAAGAAAGTAATGGTGAGTTATGGCGAGTAAATGGCGGCAATTAGCCTACCCTCCCTATTTTCTTGCCAGAATTTCGTTTTTTTTTCATTCATTAAGAGAAAAACACTACTTACAAGTTGAATAAAACTATTGTTTTGAAGTTGATTGGTTAAATTGCACATTAATTTGAGAGTTTGTCAATTTTTTGATCAGATATTACAATTAATTAAAGAGAAAGCATTTCCGCTTGGATAAAAGATTGAAAAAACATTTCTCGTAAAAAGTATCTCTCTATTGATTGAATCAAACACTCTAATACTATTGGGTTGGGGAGAATGAGTCGGCGCCCAACTTTAAAGGGACTTTTTGCACACATAGAGCCTTTTTTAAAAATACGTTTGGTTTCATCAAAAGGATCCACTATTTCTCTACAAAATGACTTTTGAGAGATTCCACAAAGCTTTTCTTTCGTGGAGTTTATGAACTTCCAAAAGCAGTTGGTTAAAATGGCAAAGGGTCCGACTCATCATTTGAACAGTTTCTTTCACATAAACCTTCTTTGGTGTTTATATAAAAAAGATAGAGCACATTCAATTACTTAAGTTGCCAAATTTGCAGGAAGATCCCACCAATGGTTTTTTCTAGATCACAGTTTGTAGTTTTTGTGAAAAAATGGCTTTTTCTTGAGCGGAGGCGCTGTTTGAATTTTCTTTTAAATGTCATTTTGTAGAGAATTAGTTAACCATTCTACTGATATCAAACGCATATTATTTGACGAAGTCGAATAGAAGTTTTAGACATTTGTTTGATTTTCGGCGCCGACTCATTCTCCCCAACCCAATACAATCTATCTACAATCTTGAAGGGGAAACATTTCTCGTAAAAACTATCTCTCTATTGATGAATCAAATTGAATCAAACACTCTAAAACTCTAATACTACAATCTATCCATTGAATATTTTTAGATCTTTTAATCTATGCCAAATGCTTGTTGAAAGTGCTTGTTGTTTTTGGTAGATTGCCGATTGCCAAAAGTGAAATCTCTCTGATAGAGTTTGTAGTTTCTCTTTAAGGAGTGTTATCACACACTTTTCATCTTTGTTAGGAAACTCTTTTTCACTTTTCACAGCAATCCAATCGTTTTCAACGAGTCAAATCTAGTATTCTTTAAAATCCAATGGAACTACCAGTGCTTCTCCTTTCAAATGGAGTGCTAATGCCTGAGGCTAAAATGCGAATTCCGGTTCGATCAAAGTTCAAGTAAAGAATCTAAATTCAAAGAAATCTATTTAAAAATTTATCTATTTCAGCTTAGAGATGTTGGATCGTTTTGTGGTGAATAGAGGGATGGCACAAGGGAAAACGATGATTTTGATCGCCTATCGAGAGGATAAAGTTGTAAATATTATATTAAAAGAGTTTTTTTTTTCAATTTCAGGACGTTTATCCGTATGCAACTGTGGCTTCTGTAGAGCAAGTGACTTGTTGGCAGTACAATGCTCACACACAATACACATTGCATGTGGTGGGAGTGTCGAGAGCGAAAATCGAGGCTTTCAAACATCCGACTTGTACAGTCAAGTTCTTGGTCGACATTCATGGTTTGTTTTTTTGTTTGTTGAAACTTTTCCAAAGCTTTGGCTGTCTAGGAGATGTTTCGTCAGAGATTGAGACAGCTTTTCTCGAGAATTGCAACCGAATGCTTGTCTATCTTTCTCGTGAAAACACCGAAGCCGCTTATCGACTGCAAAAGTTGTTGAAAGAGAAACGACTTGGTTTTAAAAAGTTTTGTTGAAATAAAGCTAGACTAATGTCCTAGATTCTTTATCCGATGCTGTAATGTCACATCTGAATGCGATTCCCAATTCAACACTGCTCACCTTTTTGTCGACGGTCGATGTGCCTAAACGAGTCGATCAGGCGAATGCGGAGCTCGATAAAATGTTCAAAGTTTGTTTTAAAAGAAATTAAATCAAGAATTACTGTAAGGAGTATAGGTTCTTTTCGAAAATCCGGGTCTTTTCATTGTGAAAAGCTATCATATGCAAAACCCAAAGCCAATTCAATTCTCTTGGGAAAAAGGGTTAAAATAAACTTCGCCAATAGATTCTACGACTTTGAAAACCAGAAATTTTTAACACTAAATCTCATTTGGGAATACAGAACAAAAGAAAAATCCCTGTGTAAATGACTAAAGATATTCTTGTGCCGCGGCATAATGGCTCTCCATCTGGCAAACAACTCCAAGATAAGGAGCTTCCCTTTTTGGAATCCGTAAAGGGGAAAGAATGATGAGCTATTGAGCCGGCTTTGTCGCTTTGAACGTCACCAAATTCCCGTGAGAATTCTTTCCCCAATGACTGTATGAATGAATGTAATGAATGGATCTCGGTTTTGTATATGATTAGCTCTCGTTTTCTTTTCACAATGAAAAGATCCAATTTCTGTAAACTGTAAAGATACCGTGAGTCCAGTATTCATTACAGTAACCAGATTTTCAGAACATTCCTCTCGCTGGTGTACAAATCGAGGATCTGATTCCAGTGAAAGGAACAAGACGGATCACGCCTGGAAATCGAGTTTGTTAGAAAACTAAGAGAAAATCAAGTCTAAGACACCAGGAATTTCAAAAAATCTACTTCAACCAAAATGACACAATTTTCCGATAAACAAACTTCAGACTCACCTGGGTCAGAAGAGGTCAGAAGAGGATGAATTGGAGAGGAAACTAGACGAAGCCCAACTTCCAGATACTGTCAAAGAAAGAGTCCTTCAAGACTATGAAAAGCTAAAGGTTTAAGGTTTTTCAATCAGACTTTACTATTTAATATCATTTAGAAAATGGGCACAAACTCGCAGGAATCCCATGTGCTTCGATCATATCTTGAATTAGTCGCCTCACTACCTTGGAATAAATCAACCACTGATCAAATTGATATTTCTATTGTTAGACTTTCGAGAAATTTTGAATTTCACAAAAATTAGGCTCGTAAAGCTTTGGAGGATTCACACGAAGGGATGAAAAGTGTGAAAACGAGAGTGCTCGAGTTTTTGGCAGTTCGAAAGTTGAGTGACGCTGTTGGTAAGATTATTGAAATCTTGATCTACTAAAACTTTAAATTCTGGTAATCTTAATAGTCAGTTAGTAATGGAAAATCTAGGGGGCCCAATTCTTTGCTTCTCTGGCCCACCAGGAATCGGGAAAACGAGTGTGGCGCGAGCAATCGCAACAGCACTTGGAAGAAAATTTGAGAGGTTGTTGATAGAATGTCGAACTTTAAATACTATCTATTTAATATTTATCTATCCTTTAATATTTTCAGAATTTCTCTTGGTGGAATCAGAGACGAGTCAGACATTCGAGGACATCGACGGACGTATGTCGGGGCAATGCACGGGAGAATCATTCAAGCAATTCGGGTAACAATTTACAATTTACAAATTTACAATCAAGACTTTTTTTTAGCATGCTGGCTCAAAAAATCCTCTAATTCTTTTAGATGAAGTCGATAAGCTGGTAAATTTTCGAAAGTTTAAGGCATTTTATTTGTTTACAGTATGCCGGTGTTAGCGGAAGTCCATCAGCTGCTCTATTGGAGGTGCTCGACCCGGAACAGAATTTTTCTTTTGTTGATCAGTGGGTGTTGCATTTTAAAAGTCCATCAGCTGCTCTATTTAAAAGTCCATCAGCTGCTCTATTTAAAAGTCCATCAGCTGCTCTATTTAAAAGTCCATCAGCTGCTCTATATGCTCTAAGCAACCATTCCATTTAGTCAATTTGTTAAATTCTCTGATTTAGCTATTTAAATCTGCCATTTGATTTGTCGAATGTACTCTTTATTGCAACGGCCAACGACACATCAAACATCGAGCCACCACTACTCGATCGAATGGAACTCATCGAAATGACCGGGTATTTGACACTCAATACTAGAATTACAAGATTCTATAAAAGCAAATCCCTTTCAGATATTCAACTCATGAGAAATTGAGAATTGTGGAGAATCACATCATCCCGAGACAGCTTCCACGTCACGGACTCTCTGATGATTGTATTGAATTTGAAATGGCCGGTCTTCAACATATTGGTAAAAAAAAGAGACCAAAAGAAATGAGTAATATAAAAAAATGATGAGGTTTTTCGTTGCGTCTGCTAATTATGTGCGACCCATATCACATATTTTAGTAAATGGATATACGAAAGAGGCGGGTGTCCGTCAGCTCGAGCGATGTGTGGCCGCTCTTTGTCGTCACGCGGCGCTGCGGTTGGTGACCGCAAACTATAGCTTTTTAGGAAAGTATCTGGGAAATATCTAATTTATTTCAAAAAAAGCAAATGTTAGTTAGAGAATTGTAGCTCTAATTCTCATTTATTTACCAAAAATTTCCCAATTTGATTTCTACAACTCATAACAAGCGCTCGACATCTTTCCATATCATTTAGCTGCTTTTTTTTTCTCTTAAAAATTGTTAAGAAAAGCTTTTGAATCTTTTTAAGCTTTTTAAATGGGGGGGGGGGGGACAAAATAGCATTTGTGAACAATTGCGCATACTTGCTGTAAAGGCCTTAGGCAGCCGCAGACCCTCGGAAAATCATTCCCGTATCGGGAATCGTATTTAGTATTTCATAATTTCAAAGCACCCGTACTCTCGCAAACACGTCAAATTTGGGTATCAAAAACAGCGGAAAGTTTAGTGGCTAGTTTTTGCCTTTTAGCCCAAATGGTCAGCGGGTCTGATTTGTTGGAAATTCGAATTACGCATACGATTCCCTTCCACGAAAATATTTTTGAAGCTCTACGACCTTCTAAGGCCTTTTCCAGAAAAAAGTCGCGCAAAGTCCAGACTGCGCAAAAAGGCGCATTGTCCGCACCCTCATTAGGGGGGGGTACAAAAATAGCATTTAAAATCACGTAATGACATTAAACAAAGGAACAAAATTACGAAAAATTTGATTGAAAAAACTTTTGAATATAATTTTGAGAAAATGACAGATTCCGATGACAGACTAGCGCTCATTCAAGTGCTTGTTAAATCAGTTTTATAAATCCAATCGAAAATAGATAGAATGTTTTCGTAGATAAATGAGAATTAGAGCTACAATTCTCTATCTAACACTTGCCAATTTGAAAATAAATTAGACATTTCTGAGCTAAATTTTCCAGTCTCGCTAGACTTTGCGGCCATCCTGTAGTCTCAAAAAAAAATGAAAACAAAAAAGAAAATTTTCTTTAGAGTAGCTGAAGTGATGAATGGTGACTGTACAGCGGATACGTTTTCTGATTTGGAGTTGCCGGTCATTGTCGACATTGCTTTAGTGGAAAAAGTTTTAGGGGTTTGAGAAATCAGTTAGCTATTCGATTCTAAACACAAATCTTTAGATTCCAAAATTTTCCCATTTTGATTTGGTGACACAAATGAAAGCATTTCGTCCAGGTGTTTGCTTTGGACTTGCATGGACACCATTTGGAGGAGAATTGATGTTAATCGAAACGAGTGGTGTTAAAGGTCGATTTAACTGATTTAACTGATTTAACTCATCATTGTAACCAGATTTGTAAACGAAAAAAATCTTTATTCTTTAGGAAAAGGTGAAGTGAGCATGACGGGGAAGCTAGGCGATGTGCTGAAAGAGAGTGTAAGTGTGGCGCGGAGCTGGCTGAGGGCAAATGTGGAACGGTTTTTCTCTTCGAGTTCTTTCTAGATCTAAGATTTAGGTACAAGTTAGAGTTCTCCGAAGAAATGGACATTCATGTGCATCTACCAGCTGGAGCAATTGGAAAAGTGGATTGAACAAAAGTTTTTTTGAGCACAGAAAACGTTTTAGGATGGACCGTCAGCTGGGTGTGCTCTGGTGTTGGCACTCTTTTCTCTTGTAGCTGGGAGAAATGTTCGGAATGACACGGCGGTCACCGGGGAAATCAGTCTCTCTGGAAGTGTGCTACCGGTAATAATAAGCATTTGAATTTGACTAAAGAGTTTCTCAAAAAAGTGCACCTTTCGAGAAGTTACAGTTCAACAATAGTGATAGTTCAACAATAGTTCAACGAGGGAATTCCAACTGGGTCAAATGAAATGAGCTATAGACCACTCAACGCAGAATTTAACGTTGATTCCGAATCTGCTTTCCGTTTCTCACACTCTGTCAGAAGTTATAAGCGCTCAAAGCTTTGTATGGGATTTGAAAAATCAGAGTTTATAAACAGATTTCTAGAAAGAACTCAAAAAGGTTTAGCGAGCAGTGTTGGCTGAGTGGCGGTGGGTTAGGATACGAGGCGGGACCTCTCTATTTCGAGTCCACCATCCCACTTTTTTCAGTTGCTTTTTTGGATTTGCAAAGTTAATTGTTCTCCGTTTCAAATACAATTTTATTTTAAACTACTTCTGATATTTTAAACTAATTTAATTTTAACTATTAACAGCCAAAAACAAAACAGATTGATGACAACAAAAAGGTGAAAAGGGAAAAGCATAGTTTGACTACAATTTTTTCATTTTGCTCATGTACTAAGTTGACATTTTCTTGTGAGGTAAGCTTTCTTTAAGAAAATTGGATTACGGTAGCTTTTCTAAAAGCCCATCTTTTAGAAATACATTAGCAAAAGAATAAATCCTAGGTTGGTGGCATTAAAGAAAAAGTGATTGGTGCACATCGAGCCGGTCTTCGAAGAGTCACTTTACCAGCTTCAAATCGAAATCATTTTGAAGAAATTGAGGACGGAGTTAGAGTGAGATTCTATCGTTATGTTAAGTAAAAGGTTTTCTTTTTTTTTCAGAGAGAAATCGATGTAGTGTTTGTCGAGACGATCGACGAGCTGCTCACGGCAATGATGGAACCCCACTCGTTGGGCTACCTCGCAAAACTTTAAGCTCATGTACAGATTTCAAAAAATAAAAGCTTTATGAATTCGTACTCAAGAAAATGCTTTTCAATGACCGGTGTCTTTTTTTTCAAAAAAAAGCTCCTGGGATTGGCTACGAAAATAGACGAAAATGATATGGTTTTTGTGATTGGTTTGAAAAACTCGTCGATGAAAAGGTGATTTCGTATAGTGAGTGGAGAGAGTAGATGAATGGAATCAAGCTGTATTCAGAATGGAAAAGCACAGAGACAAAACCCGTGCTCGTTTTTCTTCCATTTCTCCCCATCCATCGGCTGCCCTCCTGCTCTGTGGGTACGAGTGTGGGAAGCGCCTTTTTGAGGAGTTCCCATTGCTTTTTGTTCCCCCCGTTTTTCTCAGCTCTTTTCACTAAAGTCAAGCCACCGATCCGCCTCAAGTCACTCCTTTTCTAGTCGCCGTCTTTAACTTGTTTTTTTATTTTTAAAACCACTTGAATTTTTCTTATTTCTTGTTGACTGTTGGCTTGTTTAAATATAAGACTTTCAATAACTTTAAATCTTTCTATGGATTAAGATTAAGATTAAGAATGTCTTAATGATTTCCAAATATGCTAATTTGTGAAATTTGTGAAATTATCAATATTTCTAGACTTTCAATATCTTTAAATCTTTCTATGGATTAAGATTAAGATTAAGAATGTCTTAAGGATTTACAAATATGCTAATTTGTGTAATTTGTGTAATTTGTGAAATTATCAATATTTCTAGACTTTCAATATCTTTAAATCTTTATAAGATTAATGTCTTAATAATAATCAATCAACTGCTATGCTAATTTGTAAAATTTTTAATATTTCAGGTCTTCCAAAACCTCTCTTTCCCTAGTATGAGATTCTCTCATTTACCTCAAAATAATTGCTATCGAAAATCCATTTCTCGTTTTCCAATTTGTTTGCATGGGGATGGACATTTCGTGCCTTGTGCTGCTGTGTCGTGGGACTAGCCCACCTCACACTGGTGTCCGTCTGTCCGTCTGTTTCCACTATTCCCGATAAAAGGGGGGGGGGGAAAGATTGTTGAAAAGCAGGAGAAATGAGAGAAATGCTTTCAGAGTGCATAGGAGAGAGCTGGGCGATTCGATGAGGCGGGGGTACCCACACCGCTTCTCCCCTTCGCTTCTCCCCTTCCCCCATCTCCCTTTCCCCTTTCCCCACAGAGAGCAGAGTCTCCTCTAGCTAACCCCTTGCATTACTTTTTTTTTCTGTCTTCGCTAAAATATCATTTTTTTTCTTTATCGTTTTTATTTAGAATTTGCTTTTCATTTTCTATTCTTAATTGTGCTGAAATTCCGTCGCTTTATTGGGGGTTTTAAATCGGATTTTAAATCGGGTTTTAAATCGGGTTTTAGATTGGGGGCAATAGATCTAAATACTTGATCAGTTGATCTTTTAACTTGATTTCATTTTGAGTGAGAAAAACGAGCTTGATCGTTTAAAAGGTCGATAAAAGGGCGATTGTGGATGGAATAGTGCATCAAATGAAGGGGACGGGGGCTAGCACGAGAGGAGGAACAGTCGCTTGCGCACGACGCCTCCCCATTCCCCTTCCCCCTCTTTCTTTCCCCCATTTCATCCATCCATCGATTCCTTTGTTTCTGTGCTTTGCCCCGATGATGATTCTTCCTCTCTTCTTCCTCTCTTCTTCCTCTCTTCTTCCTTTTTCGGGTCTCTATACCCTTTTCCCTTCATCCTGACACCAAGAGTCGAACGCTTTTGCGCTATATCGAATTGAATTGATTAGGCCATTTTTGAATCGAAAATTGCTTTCTTTTACAATGTGATGTTTAATATTATGATAAACAATGAACAATTGTACTCTTTTGAACAATGTACCGTAAATACTGTAATAGTACCTCACCCCGTCTCGTACAGTCGCGTAGTCGCAAAAGTTTTTTAGTATTTCATTTTTTTTAAAGCGCCCGTACTTTCAAAAAAATAGCTGAAATTCAGGGCTATCTTTTGCTACCTAAGCGCGCATTATAGCATAAACCAGTGTCGAGAAAAACGCGTTCAAAGCTAGACTACGCAACACTCCGCACCGTCATTATGCGGGTGGGGCACTATTACAGTATTTACGGTAGTTTGTCAATTTTTGATTGATTTCATTTTAGTCTCCAGTTAGTGCAAAAACAAATTTCCCCTTTTGCTGAAAGAGAAAGAGAGAGAGTCCGCAGGGTGGGGAAAAGAAAAGAGATGGGTCGATTGTTGATATTTACTGCCAATTTCTTTTTCTCTCCTTGCTTTTTGTTCCTCCCATTCATCCATCTATCCATTCCACAATACCCCTTTTATGCCCTCGAATACGTATGTATGAAGAAAAGCCTTGCCATTGAATGCTTTCCTTGTTTATTTTAACCTATTGAATACATTAGCTGTATTAGTTTTGCAGAAATTAGAGATTTTTGAACTTGTATAAGTGTGGTAACGATTTAGTGAGCCAATACAAATCAGCATAAGGCAATTTTAAGGTAGAAGCCAACCAGTTAATGGTTTACTCAACCGATTCAAGCAATCAATCACAATACAGAAACAAATCCTATTGAAATCCTATTCTAAACTGCTTAATGCCAACAGAACTTCAAATTCTTGACTTAAGCATAACTCTTGAAAGTTAATGATCAATCAATGGATCAATCAATGTCAAAGCAATGGACAACAATGACAATCAATGGACAACAATGGACAACAATGACAACAACCCAAAGCAATGATCATTATTTTGTGGAGTGCTGGTCAATGAAAGGAAATAACCGTTTATTTGCCCCGGAGTTTAATTGGTTTAATAGTTCAATAGCTACGGTAGGCTTGGGATAAATTCGAACCTGCGACTAACCAAACCCGACTAACAAGCGATGGCTCGTTAAACGCCACATGACCATCAGGGCCAATACTTAAATAGTCTTTTTTTATGTAGATATAGAAAGAGAATCTTTATTAATTGTTAGTATTCTATTTGTATTAATTGTAAGCCCTACCTCCAACAAACGACTCAACCCAACCGGCTTCTTCAATCTTTCGCTCATATTCAGCGTATTCCTAATTTAAGTTTAATGCTAGATTTCTAATTTAAGTTTAATGATAGATTTCTAATTTTTTAACCTTGCTTAAATCGAACGGGATCTTAAATCGAACGGGAATCTGATCGGGAAATCGAACGGGATCTTAAATCGAACGGGATCTTAAATCGAACGGGATCTTAAATAGAACGGGATCTTAAATCGAACGGGATCTTAAATCGAACGGGATCTTAAATCGAACGGGATCTTAAATAGAACGGGATCCCGTGTTTCAACGTGAAGAACAAATCTCAGCATGAAACTGAGAACAAATCTCAGCTAGAACCTACACCACCTATCTCACTTTTCCATTCTTTTCTTCCAAGCAGTAAACTTTCAATGAAGACAAAAGAAGGGGAGATGGATAAAATGCGCTTTCCGGTGAAGGGTAGATGACTGAGAGCGACACCGTTTCGGAGCCATGCACAGAGAGAGACGAGGTCCGGATCGGTCCCCAATTTCTCCGCCCCTTTATCCCTTTTCTCATTCATTCCTTTCACCCCCTTTTCCCCCCGCAAAACTTGAACGATTTCACTTTCGTCGCCCCTAGCGTTTTCTCCCCTTTTCATATCGGCTCTTCCCCTCGTTTGCGAACATCCTGTTACAAAACATTCCGACTCTCCTTCAACCTCTTTTCTCTTTCTTTTCATTTGGCCATTACTGCTCTCCTCTTTTTCCCTAACTACGTCAAAGGTTCTCTTATTTTTTTTTTCATTTGCCGTTTACAGAACGTTATCTTATTTCTCTGCTCATTATCGATTTGCGTAAAGAAGCTAGAATTTAAGTTAATTTTCTTAATTTTCTCTATTTTCTATATTCATTTTTATCGTATTCACTCCTAAAAGAAATTTTTGTTTTATTTATTTATAGATTATAGCTAAACTCTAGTTCATAAACACATGTTATTCTCGTTCTTTTTCTTTATTATTTCTATTATTTCTATAATTTCTTTTCTGTTTTCTTCTCTTTTTGAACTTATCCTGAAGCAAAAGTGAGCTGTTGTTATTCTCACGCTATGACTCAGCAATTAGTCTTCGATTCTGCATTTATATTTTGCAAAAAATCTCTTGTTTTTAATAGGATTAAATATTGTAGTTTTGGATAAAGGAAATGATTTGTTTAAGTTGAATTTGAAATTCGAATTCTTTTCTTTTCGATGCAACATTCTTTGAGGTAAACTCGTTTAAAACGAGTTAAACTTGTCGAAAACGAGTTTAGCTTGTCGAAAACGAGTTTAGCTTGTCGAAAACGAGTTTAGCTTGTCGAAAGCTAGTCAAACTCATCCAAAACGAATCAAACTCATCCAAAACGAGTTAAACTCGTCCAAAACAAGTCAAACTCATCCAAAACGAGTTAAACTCGTCCAAAACAAGTCAAACTCATCCAAAACGAGTTAAACTCATCTAACTTGTCCTTAAACTTGTCCAAAAAGTCCAAAACTAAAGAAATCCTTTAGTTTTAAACAACATAGAAGGTGTTTTTGTCAAAAATAGATTCATTTTAAAGCTATAATCTCAATTTGAAAGCAGAAAATGGATAGAAATCCTTTCAACTAGTGAAAAAGCTAATGGGATCGATAAACCAGTATTACTAGGACATAGTAATGTTGATTACTAGGACATTACTAGGAAATCGTAATGCTGAAGAGTTAGGTCAGTCTAGGGATTCACTGGGGCAACCCGTATGGGCCCTGGTGGATGGACATCATTCTTTTTGGTGGTGTAGAGAGTATTTGAGAGAGGCGATGCCCACCGAGGCCCATTCGCCCTCTCCTAAAAACCACACCGATCCTTTGCCCGCTCTACACTCTCACAAACCCCTCTTTCCCCCATCCAAGACTACTCATTCCCCTACGGGTAGTCAGTGTTCTAAAATTAGCCAATCTCTCTTCCCCCACGTTTCGTGATTCACATTCGCCCCTATTCGAAAATTATCTTTTTCTTTGATTTAAGTTGAAAAAGCAATGCTTTGTCTATCTAAAACTGATTTTTTGCCTAATTGAAATTACTAATGCTTTGTGTTTTCTTCTTTTTCTTCTTCTTTTGCTGCATACTTTGATCAATGATTCAGAAGTGGCGCCTTGGGCGTTTTCCCGCCTTTGGAAGCGTTCCATTCGCGACGCTGGACGATTACGGAGACAAGCTGGGCGGCCCCAATAAATTTGGCGGTTTCTTTTCATATAGATTATTTTAGTAGCTAGAGATTTGATAAAAATGTCTAGGAAAGTATGTATTCACAAAATAAGTACAGTAAAGAATGAATGCAGAACATTTATTCAATTATGATAGAGCTTTAAAATCTATGAGCATTACTTGAAAACTTTCTGGTGACGAAAAAAAAAACAAAAAATTCAGGTGCGCCGGAGGGGTCGACAGGCGATGGCGGGGGACATATCCCTGTAGTGCCACCGGGTGTCTTCTTCGGAGGATCCCTTCATCGCCTTCCTCCACAACTCACCCAACAACGAACCACGAGTGCTGGTCAGTTTTTCAGTTTTTCCGAAATCTTTTCAAATCCCCACAATACACCCAATTAAACGAGTTAAACGAGTTTAAACGAGTTAAACGAGTTGAGTTAAACGAGTTTCTTTTTCCTTTTCATCGACAAGATCTTCATGATGCATATGTTGTTGGTAAATGTGAGAATAAAAGATAGTTGGTGGGAAAAGCGGGAAGACGGTGTAATTCCCTACTCCTTTCTCTTTCCAAAAGCCGGCCGTAAATCCACTCCGTCAAGCTAAACCATCATGCTCTTCAATGACCCTTGGATTTCAATTCACTAGAAATTCCAGTTTTTGAGATATTGATTTGAATGTTTCAAAGAAAAAAAACAAAGCTAAGAGCTTTAGTAAGTAAACTATATCAGAAAAATGATAAAATCTGTTCTTTGCATTTTAAACTTTGCAACTATTCCTCGTGCACACCGCTCTCCCCCCTTTCCTAGCTTTTTTTTTCCAAAACTCGGGATAGATCCTCTCTGCATTTCCTTCCAATTGAGCACTTCTATTTTGGGCCACATTGTCTGAGGATTTTTTGTACAAACAAGACAGACATTCTTCGGGAGTCTCTTCTCTCTTGAATTAGAAGAGAAAGCAACTTTCCGTATCGACCACCCGCAATGCTTTCGAAATTCTGTGAAAGTTTCTTTCTATCTAGTTTTGTAAAGTCAATGTGTTTTTTTTGCATAAAATTTCCATCGAAAACCTTCGTTAGATCTTCTAGAAAACCCTTTATTGCAATCTTTAATCGTTCTTTAGAGTCTTATGAAGCATTTTAAGACTATAATCTTTGACTTTTTAAAGATTTGATTAAGAAAAGTGTTGGGATAGTCGATTTGTTACTGTTGGGATAGTCGATCGGAAGGCGGAAGAAAGTGGATGAAAGAAGAGAAGGCCAAAAAGAGGCAAAGAAGAGGCAAAGAAGAGGCAAAGAAGAGGCAAAGAAAAACGCGGGAGCGCGTGCGGTCGTTTCTATTTCTGTGCCCGGCCGCTTCCCGATCGGGGATGGTCGTGACCGGCGTGTTTGTGTGTCTGCCTGACTCTCTCCCGACAATTCCCGATCTTTTCCCGGCTCTTTCCGGAGTCGTTCAGCAATTTTTGGAACGCTTCTCCGGTGAGGCGGTCCCGTTTTAGGACCTCACTTCCCCTAACCACTCAGCGCCCGAACTCGCATCGCCACACACCTCACTTGCACACCAATTCTTTCAAGATTCACTCTTTCTCTTCAACATTTCCGATTTGAAACCTTTCACTACTTCCTAATTTTAACATTAAATCACAAATCAACCAATCCCTCTTCACTTTACTTTTCATTTTTCCATTTTCCATTTACACATATGCTTTTCTGGTGGATAAAATCGTTCGATATTCGCTCGATATTCGCTGCCTTTTCTCATCCCTCAAGTTATGTCTTTTTAGAGGATTTGAAAGGTATTGTATAGTTTGGGGAGAGTTTGAGTGTGTCTAAGGGGAGCAGAGGGTGAGGCTGAGCAAGTCCGGTTTCCCCCCACCTCGACCGGTCTTTGGCTAGCAAGCACTCGAAGCGAGCGCGTGAGATGAACGCAACGCGACTCCCCTCCTCCTCAATTCTTTTTCAACTTCTACATTTTCCTTTCAATCTTTTAAGGTATTTCATTTTGTGTATTGCTCTTTTCATCATCTATATTCTTTCGTTTGAAAGCACTCGAATTTGGCTTTGAATTTTTGATTTGAACAATTTGAATCATATTCTTTTCAATAGTTATTTTACAAAAATACTTTCGTTGACAGCTACAAAAAGGAAAAGTATTTGGGGATCGATCGATATCGAAAATAGATCAATTAAACCAATTAAATCCTCAAATCAAGATTGATAAGAGTGATAGATTTGAGTGAAATGCCGATGGGGGGGCGTTGTCCCCAGTGCTGGGATCTCTCAATGGCTCCCCGGGGTAGAATGAAGGGATACCCTTACCCTAACCTAACCCATCTTCTCATCATCATTGAGTGGAAAAAGAGATGGCGCCTATTGTGTGTGACCTTAGAGATTCATAGGCGATTGGTACCGCCTGTCTCTCAGCCGAGGGACACCGAGACACGCGCTCCTGTCTCTCCCCCCACCGCTCCTTTTCTCATCCAGACACGGGCGCCTATTTCAAACGATATCCACATACCTTTTTGCTCTTTGAAAAATAAAGTTCTTGATTTTTTTTCTTATTGCCTCAAGTTCTGATTCTCTTTCCTATTTTGATCGAAGATTAAGATAGAAAAAAAAAGCTTTGTCCGTTTTTTGCATGCTTTTGCATTTTGATATAATACGGTTCCAATGCGGTTCCAATACGGTGCCTATTTTGATCTAATACGGTTCCAATACGGTTCTTTTTTTGATTTAATACGGTTCCTATTTTGATCTAATACGGTTCCAATACGGTTCCAATACGGTTCCTATTTTGATCTAATACGGTTCCAATACAATTGAACTTCTTTTATAAAATAGGCCTTAAACACTTTTTGAAAGATTAGTACAGTTAAAATCGTTTCTAAGATAGCTAGAATCGTTTCTAAGCTAACTAAAATTCTTTCTAAGTTACGAAACTTTCTAAAGATCTAGAGTTTTCTTTTCAAATTGCAAGATTGTTTGGAAATGCTAGAGATAGAGCGAATTTTAGGCAGTTTTCTGATTCACTTTAGTAGAGAAAACGAAAGAGTGGAAGGGATCACAAGAGTAGTAAAAAGTGAAGGGTTGAGAGAGCAAGAGTAAAGGTGTGTGTGTGTCTATGTGGATCGGGGGACGCGCGCGTACCAGGGAACGACGCGCGACTCCTGACACCCGGCCTCTAGGGGACGACCACCCAAGAAGAGAGTCACCCATCTCTCTGCTGGCTATCCCATCGACTCACTAGAGCTTTTTTTTTCATTTCATTCCACTCCAAATCCTCTCTCAACCTTTTTAGCCATTTTGGTTGATTTTGATTTGAACAATAAACCTATTCATTGATTTCTCTTATTGCTTTCTTTTTGTTTTCTTTTTCTCTTCTTCTTTCAATCCTCATCTTCTCATTTTTAAAAGAATTTTCTAGATTAATTGCATTTTTTTAAACAAATAAAATCGCTGCTTTATCTAGAACTCAAAATTTTTCAGCTAAACGATTTAGAAAGCTTTCGAAAAAAAAGCCTAGTGGATTTCATTGTACCAGCGATTAGGCGATCGGTGATTTCGGTGATTTTCGAATCATAGTTTTCCTTTTCTAAGACAAGGAGAAGAAGGTTTTGTCGATAGAAAAGCCAAAGAAGGGAAAGGACAGTGGATGGGATGGTAAGATGGAGGTGGTGGTGGAAGCGGGTGTGAGGAGGTGTCGCCCTCGCCCAATCTCTCCAAGGTCGTACCCCTCTCCTCCCATCCCCATCCCCTTTTCCCTTGACGAAATTCGAACCGCCTTAGCAAGTGTTGTGCGCAAATATGGGCCACACAGATGGCTTCAATTTTTCGTTTTCACATTTTCGTTTTTCTCTTTTGATTATCAACTCTTCTTTTTTTTGGATAACTTTTGAACTCTTTGGCGCCAAATTTTAGCTCCAAACTATAAAAGCTATTTAAGCTATCAAAAGCTATCTAAGCTTTTAAAAGCTATCTAAGCTTTTAAAAGCTATTTAAGCTTTCAAAAGCTATCTAAGCCTTCAAAAGCTATCTAAGCTATCAAAAGCTATTTAAGCCTTCAAAAGCTATCTAAGCTTTCAAAAGCTATCAAAGCTTTCAAAAGCTATTTAGCTTTTAAAATTTAAACTCTTTCATTTTCAGAATCATTTTCAGAATGTTAGCCGCTTTTTCTTATAATTTTATCTTATCTTAATGTAATTCTTGTTTCTAAGATATTAAAACAAAGATGTTTAAGATATTGCAAGAATAGCTCTAGTTTTGGTAACATTGCACACTTTTATAATCATTTTGCAATCATTTTGCAATCATTTTGCAATCATTTTACAATCATTTATATCAGCAATCATTTTAGCTATCTTTCAAATCTTTTGTGAACATTAGAAGAACTTTTTGCTTTTGAAATTTTATTTTATAAAATACTGTTAGTTAAGTTTCACTAGTTCCCTATTAGTTTCTGTTAAATTTCACTTTCAAGTGCTTTACTAGGTGAAACGATCAGTTATTTAAAAGCCTAGTACAAAGAATCAGCAAAAAAAACACACACACACACATACACAAGAAAAGCCCCTTCTGTGCGTCTGCCGGGGGCCTTCACTGGCCGTGAGAGTGTCTATGCTCTCTGGCCGAGGCTCTGGACTCTGCCGAGGAAAGCACAGAGCGCAGTTGACCCTCACCTGGGGGTCGGTGGCTGGTACTGCCCCGCGTGGATGACCCGGACACCACTGGGGTGTCCCCTGTTCGCCTTTTTCCTTCTCTTTTCCTTCACTTTATCTCCCTTTCTTTTCTTTCTTCTTTTCTTCCTTCTTTTCTTTTTCTTCTTTTTCTTTCTTCTCTCTCGATCCATCCCCATAACCATCCTCTTCCCGATTCGGTGACCCCAAACCACTATCCGCCTCACCCCCATTCATTTTTAGACTCCTTGTTTTTTCTTTTACCACCCAAGCCGTTAGTTTTTTTATTTTTTATTTAAAAGTTGACTTTTAAGCGTAGTTTTTCTTTAAATGTTTAAAGCTTTTTGTTTTTAAAATAAATAACTTTGATTTATCGTTTGATTTTGATTTTAAGTTGCCGTATTCTCTCTAATAGTAGTGCGCACTACTATTTTTTGAACCCCCTCCTGGACCACAATACTATTAGAGAGTCCACCTCTATTAGAGAGAATACGGTATTTGTCTTGTTTCATTTATCTTGTTTAATTTGTCTTGTTTAATTTGTCTTGTCTTATTTCATTTGTCTTTTCTCTCTCTTTCGATTTCTTCATTAATCATCAGAAGAATTAAATCAAAGTTTTGACTGTTCAAGTTGTTTTCAAGTTACCGTACTGTCAAATTGATATATTCAAACTGAAAATTCAAGTTGAGTCACTCTTGATTCAGTAGTGAAAGAAAAGAAATAAAAAAAATAGTAGTCAAAACTTGCTTGATCAATGAAGAAGCAAGTGTGAGGGGGAAAAGCGAAAAGAACGGTGGTTCTATGAGATGCATTTGACGCAGTGTATTGGACGACGACGGCAGTGAATGAAGAAAAGGTGGAAAGAAGTGCACGACATGAAGACACGAGCGATCCGCTTAGAGCCGGTTCTCATCATTCCTTTCCCCCATTCCGTCGTCTACCACTTACCCCTTCTCTTCTCTTGTCTTGTGACCATTCTTTCGTCTTTCTCATTTCTTTAACTTATTATTACTTATCGATTTTCTTTTACTCTTTTAAAACTCTGTCCTCTGATCGCTTTTCTCAGTCTCTAACCATTTCCCAACTATTGTAATTTCCTTTTCCCAATCGATATCTCTGGTATGTTAGATTTGGATATACCGTCTCTCTGATCCTATTATGATTGTGAAAAGGGTGAGGCTTTTGCTCATCGTGTCTTCGTTTTTTTTTGCTGAGCAACCGGTTCGTTCTCCTTCACCCTTCATTCCCTCTTTTTCTCCTGTCTTTCGATTGCCATCCACAAGCGGCACACCATCGCTAACAAGCAATGCTCTCCTCTAGACTTCTTTTCTTTCTTCAATTCATTGATTTTAAAGTCTTTCTTGTTACTTTTGTTTCATTTCAAAAGGCTTTGCGATCACGATATGCAAATCGCTTCCTCTCGAGGGATTGGTGTCTCCCCATTCATCGGCTGTTTGCTTAGCACAACGACACCCAGCTCAAGCCTTTAAGCTTTAAACTTCAATTCCTTCTCATACATTGTTCTATCCTTGTCCTGTTCATAATGTCATTGTTATTCATTTTTTTTTTTGAAGAACTACAGCTTGAGAATTTTTCTTGAAAAAACGAGAAATTCTCATTTTCTTGTACGATCTTTTTAATGATTAGAAAAACGGTTTCTTAAATGGGAAACGGCTTCGAATTACGCCAGATGTGGGAATGGTGGATTGAATAGAGAAAAAGAAGCAGTAAGAGAACGGGGGGATGAGGATCCGGGCGTGCTTTGGTGCCTGGAGGAGCCTGGAGCCTCTCCCACGTGCACTAGACAGACCTTTCCCTAAACCGTCATTCCACCGTTCGGCGAAAAAAGAGACGACGACGAGGGTAACCCGTTTTTGTACTCGTTTCGCAATGCTTTATGACTGTGTGTGTTTTTTGGGGAGCAAGATTCTTGGGGATGATGACAGAGTGGTACGACCCTTTATCCCCCCTCTTTTCCCCTCACTTTCTTATTGCACAACCAATTGCCAAATAAGGCAAGCATTTGTTTTCGATTTTTCTTGCTTAAGTCTTTTACTCATTTAAGTCTTTTTAAGCATTTTGACCTGATAAGCTGACTCTTTACGGCTACCAATCTCTTGATGAGTCGATCAATCGTTAGCAGAAGGGGAAAATTGAGTTGCGTAGGCCATGCAAATTGATTGGCAAAGAGAAGGGTGTGTGGCTGTGTGTGTGTGTATGTCTAGTGTGTGATGGCAGAGAGAGAGCAGAGAAGGTGAGGCACCCTTGTACCCCAATCCCCCAGTCCCCCTCAGTCCCCAGTCCAGTTCCCCTCACACATCTCTTTCCCCCCTAAATGCCCTCAGGCCTCCCGCGTTACACTCATCGATATTCTCGGCTCCTTGAGTCGAATCGAAATCTCTGAATTCCTAGACAATAATTTTGTAACTTGTTTTCTCTTTTTCCTTTCTGCGAATGTTTGTTTTTTTTTCTGAACTCTGAACATTCTTTTTTAATATATTTTGACAACAAGCCTGTCTTCTTTCTCTTTCTCTTTCTCTTTCCTTTCTTTCTCTTGTTTTGTTTTCTGGAAACATTTCTTTGCACTTATGTTTATCGGCTGGATTATGTGAAGTGATGGCATGGATTGTCTGAAATGTGGGAGAGCTTTTTCGGATAGTTGTTTGTTGTTTAAAGATAGACAAGTGTTTTTATTTATTTTTATTAGCTTCAAGCGATTCGTGAACTCTTGAAGAACGTGATAGCATTTACGTTTTTTTAATGTTCTCAACTTGTACAAGATTTAGAACACTTGTACACTCAACTTGTACAAGATCTAGAACACTTGTACAAGATCTAGAACACTTGTACAAGAAATTCCACGAAAATTCCAGTCCCATTCAGTCACCTTTTTCAATTAGAATTAGGAAATCAATTTCTTCAGTTGATGTCACGAATTAGTGCCATTTATTCGTCATTTCAATCACCATTTTTCCTAGTTGCGTCACCAAATACATTGATATTTTTGTGATTTTGTATTTGTATTGTTGTGTGTGGAACACAAATATCGCTGAAATGCTTAGATGAACAGAAAGAAGAGAAGAAAGAAAGGTAGACTCAAAGAACAGGCAAAACAAGGCTAGGCATAGACAGACGACATGCACACACCGAAGAGTCGACTCGGCTCGGCCAAAGGCATCTCTTTTCCCCTCCTTTCCCCCGTCCTTTCCATTCCCCCACCGCCGCGCCGCGATAGACGCCGTTTCGAATGTGCGTCATGAGAGAACTCGCCCACCTCTTCTCCTTCTTCTTTTCTTTTTCTGTTTCAATTTTTCTTCTGAAAATAATGATGCGAGTGATCTCACTGAAAAATTACACGCTTTTAGCTCTCTGATCCATTGATTTTACCGCTATTCCTTTTCAGATCCTCTTTTCAGACTTCTCATTCTTATATTTATCAATAGATTTTTGCATCGATCATCTATCCATATCGGAAAATGATTCATAAATCATATCTTCTATCAAATTTCCGCCTCCATGATTCCCTGTTGATCTTGCCTCGTTGTCAGGCGGGTAACCAGGGATTAGGGATCAACTCACAACTTTTTTTTTTCCCTTCCCATCATTCATAAATTCACTCATTCGTTTAATTGGATGTGTTCTTTGCTTTTTCTTGACCTGATCATTCGTAAATGATAAGGAGAAAAATTTCAGGCAGCTCGTCGTCGTCGGGGTGCTCGTCGACCACTTGTTGCGATTTGCTTGATCTAGCGGCAGCCGCTCAGCAGCACGCCGCTTTACTCGCTCACCAACACCGTCAGTTTCAAGGTAAGAAAGTTTTTTTCTTAAAATAAAGAATATCTGCGCTAGATTTCTGAAGTTCTGTCAGTACTGTAAATGATCGATAGGTCTTGGTTTTATACAAAAAGTGTGCTAAGATAAGTTACGATTCTAAGCTTTATTTGATCTTTGGTCTGCTTTGGTCTGCTCAACAGTTTGCCTTTTTTAAGAATCCAAATCAGCTTCAATTTCAGAATCTTTCAGAATCAGAAATTTCAGACTTCAGAAGCTAAAGAGGCTTTTTAGATTAGCAGACAAAATCCAACTGCTAGATTTTTAAGCTAGACTGCTAGATATTTAAGCTCGTTTAAAGCTTGCGCACAAAGATATTTCAATCAAAATCCCATTTACAGTAGCCGGCGTGGTTCCGGGCTCGGCGGTGCTCTCAGCCGCCGAATTGGTGCAGCTGGCCCAGGCGGGGTGTGGAGCAGGCTCGGCGGGCCTTAGTGGGCACGCCCTCCTGCCTCATCCCTCTCATCACCACCCCACTAACACGGGGCTCACTGGTTTGTTTTCGGATTTAATTCTTCATAATCATTTGAAACCTATTCTTCTTCCTCTTCTCTTCTTCCTCTTCTCTTCTTCCTCTTCTCTTCTTCCTCTTCTCTTCTTCCTCTTCTCTTCTTCCTCTTCTCTTCTTCCTCTTCCCCTTTCTTCTTCCCCTTCTCTTCTCTACTTCTTCCCCTTCACAAAGTCACAAATCCCGTTGTTTGTTAACCTGATCTACCAAATTTCAGTTGTTTTTTCAAAATTTTACCATAACTTTTTTGAGATAAGCCGATTTGAACATAAAATTCTTAAATGTTTATCTGTTTTCGAAATTATGCAAGAAAAAAAAAGCTTGAGAATTTCAAAAACATTCTCGACAATTATAAGATCATCTGGTCATGACAATTATTAGCGAAAATCTCAATCATTTTCCCGTAAAAAGATCGAAAAAGGGATCACTTCGCTCGCTTTCATTTCGATGATCTATTTTATTGATTGCAATTTAGTCACAAGTAACGTTTTATTTCTTTTTGTCAATTTCTTTTTAAATTTCTCTTTTCTTAAGATTCTCCGATTCTCTTTCAATTTCTCTTTTCTTAAGATAGCTATTTATTGAGCTAATCAACAAAGAGCAAAGGCTGAGTGCAAGAGTTTTTTTTTCTGCTTTTCTGGTTATAAAGTTTGATTGACAACAAGAGGAGGGGCGGTGACTGACCCTGAAATGACCCAAAAGGGCGATCAAACGAGGCAAGAGTGAAGAGGACACAAATTCGTTGTGCAATCGATTGATCGATGCCAAACAAAAAAAAAACGAGTTATCATTGTTGTCGACTGAAGATGAGTGGCACTTAGTGACTAGAAAAAACGGTGGCAAAGCTGTGGAAAGGTTGTTTACGATAACACGGGAGGGGGTTCGCTTTTTGGAATCGCCGGCTCTCGGCACTCCCAATCTCTCTCCAATTCCCGCCCCTCACGAGTTTTATGCTCACTCTGAGACTTGTTTACTTGAAGACGTGCGTTCATTCTCTTTCCATTCCCACGTATACCAGTAAACCATTGAAATTCAGCTTCTCCGGCACTCTTTTCAACACTTTTCAACTCTTATTTAAAGACTATCTTTTATCTAACATCATCAAATTCAGTAAGAAGAAAAAAAAGAATAATTCTAGTAATATTTATCTTTTAGGTGATATGGCGGCGGTGTCAATGCCGCATCATCCGGGTGTCGCCGGTGGTCCTCCAATGGCGATGAAACAAAAAGCGGTGTCTAATCCCGCTCAAATGCTTCCCACGAATCCACAGGTTTATTTTTAGAAAGTTTTTTAAAAGAATTGCTTTACTTATATTTCCCCAAATGGTAGGAAAATATTTATTTTAAATAAGTGGAGAAAATTAGAGGGGAAAACTTTTCTTCTTCTTCTCCTTCTTCTTCCTCTTCTTCTTCTTCTTCTTCCTCCTCTTCTTCTTCTTCTCCTTCTTCTTCCTCTTCTACAAAAAAAATTGTTTTCGAATGATTCAGAGATTGCCTAAGAGTCAAATAGAAAACAATCGCTTGCGTTTATCGCAAAAGCGGTTATTATTTTGAAAAGTCGTCAGTGTTCTCAAAAAATAGGCAAAGATATGAGGGAGATGAGAGAGAAAGGAGATTCATTCTTCTGCGTAGTTCATCGGAACCCCGAGAGAGAGAGTAGTTCTGACGTGAAGTGAAGAAAGGGGTTCTCTTTCTTTCTACTCTCTGTGATCTCCATGGCCGGCTTTTCCCGTTTTTTTTTTGCTCAGGCGTGTGTCCATCCACCGGGAACCCCTCTAACCGAGAAAAGGGACGGCTAGAGGCGTGGTCATCACCTCGTCTACTTCCGATTCCAAAAACCATCCCGAGAAAACGCCCGCATTTCCCGGAACAACCCTAAAATTTCCGCTTCTCTATTTTTTACAAATTTTCAATAACTAAATCATTAATTCAAATTCGATTTCGATTAGCTGATGACCATTGCAGTGATAAGTAATCAGGTGAGTGTTTAGTATTTTTGGCGCGAAACGAATCACAATCAATCCCAGGAGAGACGCTGAAAGGTTCAACGGCTCGCTAGCTCGCTACAACGAGCAAATATTGAGAACTAAAACGAGTGTAAGGGGGAATGGGCGTCTTTCACCCGGTGGTACCACCCGAGCGATCAGCTGCTCCCAATTCCCAGAGAGCTATTTCAAACTCGTGAACACTCTTCAGCTACGAAAAATCTCCCCATATTTGTCAATACTTTAAAGAATCACCCCATTTTTCTTAATACTCTCAATAATTTCTCGTTATTCGATTTCTCTAAAAAGCTCTAGTTATTCTATTTCTCTAAAAAGTTCTCGTTATTCTATTTCTCTAAAAGAATCAGCATTGCCAGAGATTTCTAATCAAACAAGCTTGTCCAATCATCGTGAAACCTATCATTTCTATCAAGCAACGAAAGTCTCCTCCTCGTGATTCTTTCCTCTCTTTCTCTTGAGCTGTTCCCTCGCCCTTTCTGCCATTCGCCCGTTTTCCCACCGTCGTCACGTGGCGCCAATCGCCCACAACGTGCTTACCCGATCCCCCCTCATAGTCTAGTGTCTTTTTATTCCATTTCATTCTTGCGATGCGATTCTATAGCCCATAATTCTTACGACATACGACATACGATGCTCCTCGTCGCTTTACTTGAGGCTTTTATTGAGTACTTAGAAAATATATTGGTGGGCTTTAAATCATCAAATCTTAAAATCAAAAAAAAACATAAGAATTTCTGGGTTTTTGTAAGCAAATGATTTCAGGCATCAGCCTCGCATGTGTCAAATGCGATCCTCACAGCTGCTCAGCCTTTCTACCAGGCTGCTCCACAGCCTGACGCTCAACCGGATCGACCAATTGGATATGGAGCTTTCGGAGTTGTTTGGTGAGTTAACAATTAAAGAAATTTGTGAAACAAAAGCTAATTTTAGGTCGGTGACCGATCCACGAACTGGCAAACGAGTGGCGCTGAAGAAGATGCCAAATGTCTTCCAGAATCTCGCCTCTTGCAAGCGGGTTTTTCGAGAAGTGAAAATGCTCTCATCCTTCAAACATGATAATGTAGTTTTTGGGAAATTTGTAAAAGTTTTATCGAAAGATTTAGGTACTCTCTCTGTGTGACATCTTGCAGCCAGCTAATCCACATTTCTTCCAAGAGTTGTGAGTTTTTTTATTTGGATTTATTTTCACGTTTTTCCTTATTCTCAAAAAGACCTTGAAAAAGGAATAGAAATTAGTTCCTCATAGAGAAAAAGTAGAGGTCGATTCGACCCGTCTGCCATTGCCTTGTGTTCTCTTTTCTCTTCAGAGAGCAATGAGACCGCGTGGTTCACTCTCGGCATCTCTAATTTCTCTATCTTTCTCTATCTTTCTCTATCTTTCTTTAACTTTCTCTATCTTTCTCTATCTCTATTCTGCAAATGGCTTTCAGCCAAGCCTAGCTTTTTGTTTGAATCTGTGAAATGAGAAGATAAATTTTAAGAAAAAAAAAATTCAGATATGTACTCACCGAGTTGATGCAAAGCGACTTGCACAAAATCATCGTTTCCCCGCAACCGCTCACCACCGATCATGTCAAAGTGTTTGTCTATCAAATTCTTAGAGGTTCGTTTTTTTTCTTCTTCTGTTTCTTTAGCTAATTAGCTTTAGTAATTGTCTTTAGTAATTAGTAAAAGATATAGATGAATTGCCTCTTTCTAGGACTCAAATACTTGCACTCGGCCAATATCCTTCATCGTGATATCAAGCCAGGCAATCTGCTTGTCAATTCAAATTGTATCCTCAAAATTTGCGACTTCGGATTGGCTCGAATCTGGGATTCGCGAGATCGACAAAATATGACTCATGAGGTGAGTCAACTTCTAAGAGCTGTGATTTAACAGCTCTTGGAAAAGCTGTTACCGTATTTTCTCTAATAGTAGTGCACCGTGAGCGTCTAGGCGACGCACCGTGAGCGTCGCCTAAATTGCTCGAAATCTCGAGAACCGTTTATCAGAACCTATCGATGTGGGGTCGGAAAATGTAGCTAACGATGAGATCTAGTGGGGGATTTGAGTGTTGAGCTTCTGCAAAAGCTTGGAAACCGTAAAATCGTCACCAACTCGGCTCGCCGGAGTGCACTACTATTAGAGAAAATATTTTCGTTTTCAAGAAAACATCTGGATTTTTAATTATGAAAAAGATAAACTAAGGCAAAGGCCAAAAGACAAAAAGGCAAAAATACAAAAATACAAAAATACAAGCTTCTTTTTAGGTAGTAACGCAATACTACCGTGCCCCCGAGTTGTTGATGGGCGCTCGCCGCTACACTGGAGCCATCGATGTGTGGTCAGTTGGGTGCATCTTTGCCGAACTTCTCCAAAGGCGAATCCTCTTCCAAGCACAAGGCCCCATCGAACAGGTGAGATTATAAAACATTTGAATAAGTATTATTTCAAATGAGATTTTAAAATCGATACCTAACAAATTTGTTTTTAGTTGAACTTGATCATTGATCTTCTTGGCACTCCACAAGCTGACGAGATGCGCTATGCTTGCGATTCGGCTCGTAATCATGTAATGCGACTACCACCAAGGTAATTTTTTCATTCAGAAATTGAAAACAATTGGAAAAATATTGACTCAGCTTCTATTTTTTTAGACATTCACAAGCGACCAGCCGTTTCTATCAGCTCAACTCGCAGATGACCGATCAAGCTGTAGAACTGCTTCGAATGATGCTTATCTTTGATCCGGTTAGATCTTTGACAACTTTAAACTAGCTTAGATAACTAGTTAACTAGATCTAGTTGTTGATCTATTGATTATTATTGTCTTTGTTCCAGGATAAGAGAGCAACCGTCGAGCAAGCTCTCTCGCATCCCTATTTGGAAGAGGGTCGACTGCGTTTCCACTCGTGCATGTGCACATGCTGTTACAATGATCAAAACGGATCTCGAATCATGACACAACACCTCGACCCGATCCACGAGCAACCATTCGATCCAAAATGGGAGAAGGAACTCGCACGGTATTCCATGTTCGAGCTCCGCGACAAGATGTACAAGGTTAGCTTTTTTGCCTTATCTATTTAGAGTAATAAAGAAGTGAAGTAATCGGCAAGAAAAAGGTAGATTCCCGGAGACGGGATTGAATCCTAAACCTTTTGCAATTGCTCAAATCACTGAGCTATTCGGTACATTAACTTGCCAAGAGAAAGAAGAAAACTAAAAAAAGCATAATACTTTGACTTTTCAGTTTTCACTAAATAACTTAATTTTCAGTTTGTCACAAATCGAAACCCACTCAACGGCATTCCATTGTGCATTAATCCAAACTCTGCAGCCTACAAGAATTTTGCGAAGTGAGTAGATTGATAAAAGTTAGCTAAGGATAGGTAATGAATGATAATGATGATGATGATGATGATGATAATGGTGATGATAATGATAATGGTGATGATAATGATAATAATGATGATGATGATAATTATAATACTACTACTAATGCTAATAATAATAATAATGAGAAATTTCAGCTCATCTGTAGCGCAAGCATCTGAGTTGCCACCAACGCCCACCCAATGGGAGTAACATGGTCAAATCCTCTCCATACCTCTCACTTTTTCATGTCATTGAAAAGAAAACCCCCAAAATTTCAAAGCCTTTCTTTCACCTCTAAATCGGAATATTTATCGAGCACAATGTGATCACTTGGTTTGATTTCTCTTTTCATTTTTCATTTTATCTTGCAATCCCTAGTTGAGTCCCTGCAGTCCCTGCAATCTCAAACTCTTTCCCCTTGTGATTCTTGATCGATTAGCTCTACAAGTACTTTCAAGTCTTTCTTTCAGAAAACAAAAAATAACTTGTTCATTGTTGGTAAAAAAAAATCGGCTGCTCTTCTCGTGCTTTCTCGTTTTTTTTGAAGCTGTTCTCTTTTTTTGGAACCGCAAGTCTTTCAGCTGCCGCCCCCGCAGTCTTGGTGCCACAATTGTGGCCTTGACGGTCTTGTGCCCAAGCCTTAAAAACCTCTTCTCACACATTGGCGTGGCGGCCTCATTTCTATGATTTCGAGCTCTTTTTTCGTACACTGTACTGTACTGTACCTTTTTTGTTCACTGATATCTTTTTCATTTCCCGGCAAAGCAACTCTACTTGGTGCCCTATGTTTTCTTTGTGGTTTTTTCCCCCTCCCAGAAATAGTTCCCTATCATTTTCTTTTACCCTCAATTTCAAGGTGCTTTCCTGATTTTGAGCCCTAATATCTGAAAACTCTTTCAACGCTGGCCCTAATCATAAAGCATCTTTCGACAAACTTTTAACTAAGTATCCCACCGTATTTCCTCTAAACCCTCCCCCCTCGACCAACTTTAGACCCCTCGTTCTCAACCTCTTCTCAAGATATTTTTATGTTTAATATACCAAAAGATAGAAGACATTAAGGGCTATTTTTTTGATATATTAAACATAATATCTTAAAATGGGGTTAAGAACGAGGCGTCTCAAGTTGGTCGAGGGGGGGGAGGTATTAGAGGAAATACGATATACCGTATTTACTCGAATAGAAGACCGGTCTTCTATTTTTTTCAATCACTCCCTAGACCCCGTCTTCTATTCGAGACGGTCTTATAATCGAGGCCGGTCTTCTATTCGAGTAAATACGGTATTCTTTTTAACAACGTGTACATACTCTTTCATACAAATAACAAATAAACCTCTTGGGCTATTCTTGGTGTTCATTTCGTGAGTTTTTTGTTTTTTTTTGTTTTGCCAAAATCCCTTTCTGTGTCTCCGTTATCAAAAGTAAAACCGATGTGAGCATTTTGTTGATTTCGGAATTTCACTCTCTTCAATTCTAATTTCTTTTTTTTTGGTTTTTTTCCTTATTTTAAACGTCAATATTTCTGGGTATGGTTTTTCTTTTGAAAACTAGAAAAAAAAATCGAGAATATTTGAGGACTTTTTTTCTAGAAGATTATTATAAACGATAAAATATTCTCGACAAAGTCGCTTTTTTAGTCTGCTGCTAGATCTATCGCTGCGATTAGCCTAGCGCTTTCACTACCCTCCCCCAACATTTCCTGAATTTCTCTTCAACAAAAAAACAAAAAGGTTTCAGCCATCATTTATCAAATATTTATTTTCTCTTTTTTTCTCTTTCATCACTTCTTAGTCTTTTTTCTAGCGTTTAATTGATATGATTTTTTTTGTTTTTGTTTTTTTTATTTTTTGTTGGCTGAAACTTTCTCGAAACAGCTCTTCATTCATAATTTCATTTTCATGATTTTCATGTTGTCATTTATTATTATTTTTTTCTTTTGTTTATGTTTTAAAGCGCAAAACAAAACATCATTTCTTTTGCGTTTATTATTTTATTGTGTAATATAAAATTTAGAAAATAGTAAAGAAAAAAATGCAAGGGAAATTTGAAAAACGAACAAGAACAAGTAAAGAATACAAGGCAAAAAATATTTCAGAAAACAAGGGATTGGGACAAATGCGACCTTTTTTCCGCACCTTGCCCATTAGCGCACCATTTTTCGCGTTTTAAAAAAGCTCTAAAAAGCTAATATTAACCAATTTCTATTCCAAAAGTTGTTTTTCTAGGTAATTTGAGGGTGTCGAATTCAAATTTTGACATAACAGAGCGTGTGGAACCATTTGATTTGAACCAATTTGAAAGACAAAACGGCTGGGTCAAATTACAGAAAATTGTTGATTTTTCGGGGGTGGGACGAATGCGACCTTTTTTTTGCGCACCTGGACATTTGCGCACCTTTTTTTTGCTGGAAAAGGCCTTAGGAAAGGTCGTAGAGCTTCAAAAATGTTTTCGTAGGAGGGAATCGTATGCGTAGATTCAGAATTTTGACAAATCAGATCTCGCTGACACGTCAAATTTGGGCTAAAAGGCAAAAACTACGCAACTTTACGCTTTTCCGCAGTTTTTGCCTTTTAGCCCAAATTTGACGTGTCAGCGAGGTCTGATTTGTCGAAATTCGGAATCTACGCATACGATTCCCTTAAATGGAAATATTTTCGAAGCTCTACGGCCTTGCCTAAGGCCTTTTCCAGCAAAAAAAAGGTGCGCAAATGTCCGGGTGCGCAAAAAAAAGGTCGCATTTGTCCCACTCCCAAAAAAATTGGCGCAAAAATCACGAGCACCGCCTTATATATGACTCCTTTTAAAGATATTCAACCGTTCAACTGATTTGGTGGCAAATTCCCCTTCAAATGTAAAGATATTCAATTTACTCGACGTGTAAAGAGGATTTACTCGTAGTTTACTCGACCAAAAACGCCGATCAATCGAGTAGAGATTAGTCATGAAAATTTTACTCGAGTAATTTCTTATTTACTCGCGAGGAACACACTCTAATGAAAAGTTCAATGACCCAGCGTGATTCATAGCCACTTTTAAACAACTTTCCTTCACATTCACTTCAAATTTCCCACGCTCGAAATGGAAACTCTTCTGTGGTGAGTTGAACAAAAAATTGAGAATAGGGAAAGCAAGGATGGATGCATTTTCGGTGTTGGCATGAGTCTTCCAGTCGGCCGAGGATCGGCTCGAGTTTCATCGGCCATTTTCGATCTCCTCTCTCCCTTATTCCCCCCTTTCTCCCCATCGCAACTCTCCTTGAAACCCACCCTCAGTCCACAACAATTAGACCCAGCTTTTTTCCCCCAACCGATCAATCATTCCCTTTTTTTTTCAAAAGCAACCCACATTTAGTTCTAATTGTTCGCTATCTTTTATGCCTTAAAGATTTTTTTTCTTGCCTTGTTGCTAATTGAGATTATAGATCTATTCATTTATTCTTTAGAAATACTCGGGTTATTCTATGGGGTTTGAAAAGAATAGCTGATTTTAGTTCTAGAGATTCTAGAAAAGGATGTATTTTTCTGGGAAAAGATGGGTGTGGGAAAGATCTTCAAAGGGATTGATGGCTCTCTGTCATCGGCAGACAAAATACTGCTCAATTTTTTTTGTCTATTCTTTTTGTTTTCTATTTTTTAGCTTTACTTTCCATGCTAAAAGTGAAAACTGGATCATTTTCCGGTCAACACTTTTCCTTTATTCAAAGAATTGCAAGTCAAAGTCTCGTTTAGGCCAAAGTCTTTAGGCTTTAAAGCGTGGATTTACATTAAATAAGCCAAAGTCTTTAAATGGGCTTTAAAGGCACCCAAGCTCTCTTATTCGGCGGCAAAAATACTTTATATCTTAAATGTAAAGCAAGGTATTTAAAAATTACTAATAATTTAAAAATGGCATCTGGCTTAAAAGGCACCCTTTAACAGGCAAACTCTCAAAGTTACAGGAAACTGTGACAAGGAAATCTAATAAAAAACTTGATGGAAACTTGAATCAAGGAAAGCTAAGAAGGAAATTTAAAAGAAATTAACAAGGAAATATAATAATGGACAAATCTTAAGGAAACTTAACAAGGAAAGCTAACAAGGAAACTTAACAAGGAAAGTTAACAAGGAAACTTAGCAAGGAAAGTTAACAAGGAAACTTAACAAAGAAACTTAACAATATAACTTATTTTTCAAATAAAGACTTTGAATTTTGATTTTTAGCTCTTTCCCCTCGGAAATCCCCATGAGATTTCCCATTATCGAGGTGAGTGAGGTGTCACTCTGGAAATTTCACAACACAATTTATTTTTTCTCTTACCCGAACTTTGTTAAACCTTTAGGTTATCGTACTTCACCGTTTCCCTTTTTTTTCCAGCTGCTCTCAAATTACTCTGTGAAAGTTCTCACCTGCATACAAAAATATTTGCTTGATTTCAGAAGTTGAAGTCTAAACATTACTAACATAAGGGTTTTTTCAATGTTTTTCCAGTTTGACAAGTTTTCTTTCTGTAAATCACTCGAATTTCCAGCTAATATCCGGAAATCGTTTTTACGTCGAAAAAAGCAGTAAAAGGCTAAAGTTTAGTTTGGGTTTATTGAAAGAAATAAAGTCAAACTCGGCAATAATCATGTTTTTGTTAGGTTTTGTGAGGGTTTTGTGAGGTTATCGGGGCATGGGGTTAGGCTAAAGGCTGAGTGAAAGAGTGCGGGGATCGGGGTCCCGTGAGTGTTATGAATGCATGAATGCTTTCCACCAGGCTCACCACTCAACTCGCCTTTTCTTTTCTTTCATTTTCACCAATATGTTCATGTTTGGCTCATTTTTGATGTTCTTTTTTTGATGTTCACCGTGAAAACCTCCAATAACCAATGATGGGCTCATTTTTTTCACACTCATAACGTTTATTGTTCTTTTTTAGTCTTGGGAACATTTGGTTTTTTAAAGAAATTTCGGTTTTTAGGGTTTAGAAGATGTAAAGCTTTAGAAGCTTTACATCTTCTATTTCAATTATAGGATTATCTAGGAAATAGAGTTTTAATTCTCTATCTTGTTAAAACTCAATGAATTTCAAAATCAATCTATTAAAGGGGAAGGGGGTATTAATCGCGGCCGGGTGACCATAAAAAAATTTTTAAGGCAACCACCTGTTTTTTTATTTTATTATAAAAAGAATAAAAATCACCCGGCTAGAGTGATTTGATGGGTTTACAAATTTTTGGAGACGCTG